AAATACAAGATTTAAAAAGACAAAATATTTATTTCTAGCAAAACACACACACAGAAACCCACAAAATAACAATAATCAAAAGAATGAAAGATAACATTTTTTTTAAAGATCACACAAGTGTGTGCTGTGAACTGCTGTGTTGTAATTGGCCCTGGCTCAGCATTATGCTGAGGAGCAGAATGTTCCACAGCGCTGGTCATTCTGCCAGAGACCACAGCAGCTAGTTTGCGCTTAAGTCGCAAAAAAAGAAAAAGAATGTAATAATAATAATACTTAGTAGAAAAAATAATATTAGTAAAAGTTAGCAGTATGTAATGAAGTCTGGTGTAAAATATGTACCTATATTATACCTAGTAAATAAAATAAAATTAAAATTAAGAATAATAGATTAGATTACGTGGGATTTTTATTGAGTAACTAGATGTTCTTTTTAAATGCGCGAGAATTTGATTTTAGTTGAAGATATTTCAGCGGAGGAGAGATATTATTCCAACATTTCGTCGCGCTATATTTAAAACTCCCACGAAATGATGCCGTCCGAAGCTGGGGAATGGCGAGCTCCTGAGTACAACTCCTGACTGTTCTTGTTGACATTACTGCGCCAGAGGAGCTTATTGTACAGATATTCAGGTTGTTTAGTATGTACTACATCAAATAACAAACATGGCAAATACAATTTTTGTCGATCTTTCATTGTTAAACAGTTTAGGTTGTTCAAATAGGGATCGATTCCTAAATTATAAAAACTTAGCGAAAATTGATTTCAAAGTGTGAAATCAACTATGCATATCCAAACCTAGCTCTTTTAACAGATTGCTCTGAATATCGGTGAGTTGCGGCCAAAACGCGTTCTTCTTGTCTACAGTTACGACGATTTTTTGGTATTACGATGCGTTTACAAGGTCTCTTCAGATGCCACTTTATTATTAAAGGTTTGCTGTAAACAACTTGAATTGCCGGGCATTATGCGTTAGTTTAAACAACTCGGCGGATGTGATGCCGGTCCACTCCTGTACGTTTCGCAACCACTACATCTTCTTCGCCCGTCTCTTGCCTTGCATTTTGTCCATCATTATAAGCTGCAACAAGTCGTATCGATGATAACGCAAAACGTGTTCGAGATATGCGACTTTCTGTAGTTTTACAGTCTGCATATCCCGAGAAGAAGAATGTGTTCACAAGTTAAGTAATGTTAATTTATTTTATTATATTTACAGATAAAAAACATATGATAGTGTGCATTAAATAGTAAACAAACCGTATTATATTTTACACTGTTAGTGCTTCGCTGTCAATCTATATTTTATTTATACTTCAGATATCTGGCTTCCTGAAAATAATATTAAGCATTCTGAGTACAGGAATGCATGTGATAAGTTCTTTTTTTTTATTTTTTTTATAGAACGAGGGGTAAACGGGTAGGAGGCTCACCTGATGTTAAGTGATACCGCCGCCCATGGACACTCTCAATGCCAGAGGGCTCGCGAGTGCGTTGCCGGCCTTTTAAGAATTGGTACGCTCTTTTCTTGAAGGACCCTAAGTCGATTCTTGTTAGTTAGACCTGCAAAGGTCCTAGATTTTTGAGCTTTTTCTCAGTAAAAGCAAAAATTATAGCCGCAGATTATATGCCATTATGCCCTATTTAAAAACACGCAAATATAATTAGATTACATAGAAATGTGAAAGTGAGTTGATTTCCTCAGCCTCACGTCACTCCATAGTGACGTGAGACTGAGGAAATAATTGGATACTCCATAGTATCCAAATTATGTATTTTTGAATTGTGTTTTTGGACAGTACAAAAAAATCTTGTAAATTATATTATTTTTACGAAAATCCTCAATAAAGGTTTTATGTCAATATAAAATCATTTTTATAATATGTTTACATTGTGTTAATTTTGAGTTTGTTTAAAAATGTACCTAACACGTGATTATCATTTACTTTTATGACGATATATGTGTCTGATGGCAGAAGACACTTTGCCTGTTAGTGTGATATCCTGAACCAGTATCCGAAATAACATAACAACATTATTGTTGTTATGTTATTTCGGAAACTGGTTCATGTTTAACGATATAGATGAAATCTCGTAAAAGATTGTAATTTTTTCGAAAATTCTCAATAAAATCTTTCAATGTAATTAAGTTAAAAATTCGATAAATCATTTTGAAAGTTATTTTTGTCGAGTTTTGTACTAGAACTCGCTGCTTTGTGGTAGACAATTATACTTCATACAAAAACAGTGGCGCTACAACCTTTTTGGTCCGTTCCGTGATCACTTGTTTTTTTCTAATAGAAAAGTAGCCGTCGACTTTATGGGTCGAAGGAATGCCGGTTTTCTCTCACGTATATATGCGCACATTTAAACTACTATATATCTATTGCGCGTTTATAGCAGACGAAGTTATAGAAATAAAAATTTTATCTTCCGTAGTAGCATGTCGTTCTACCGTTACTTACTCTTCAAAATATATCGTCAGTTTACCACTGTCAATGCGCTGATCCATAAACTAAGGATTGAACGATTCTAGACGCGTTCAAGTTTAATGAGCAAATCAATATCTAGCAATATTATAAAGGAAATAATTTGGACTTGATTATGTCATGTCACATGGAAAGTCATTTAGTCTATTAAAAAACAAATGATTATGAAACAGATACAGAAATATTATAGGCCCAGAAAAGGTTCTACCACAAAGCTAGTTGTAGTAGGTACAAAACTCGATCAAAATACCTTTCAAGCTGATTTATTGATTTTTTCTAACACAATTGAATTTTTTATTGAGACTTTTCAAATAATAAATATCATTTACTAGATTAGCACAACTAGAAAGATCTATGGTTCGAGAAAAATCTTTGTAGACAAGAATTCAGTTTTTGTACTACTATAATTACTTTTGGTATACTTATACAGCAAATAAAATACTAAAAACCAGATCAGAACATAGCTAGCATTAATTTATTATCAGAAAACAAAATTATCATTTATATGTCCATGATATACCATTTCAGTGAACTAATTAAAATTTTCCAAAAGTGATCTTGTTACAAATAGTTCGCTAGTGGCCGGAGGGAGGTAAGCAAATTATATTTGTCTCTTTTTCTCGTATTACCGTAACAGGATAAAGCAATAAATAGACTATGCTCTGTCTCTTTTTCACGTGTAAAGGCTTCTCCATCCTTGTCTCTTGTTTATCAAATGCTTCTACGAACCTTACCAACCTTGAATGAGTTTGCAAACTTGGAACTGAAGTTCTAATATAAGAATCCAAATACACGAAGTGAGGTAGGAGCAATCTCAAATTATAATCACGTAATAATTAAATCATCAAACTTTGACAGTTCTTGAAACTATATTGAAGCGTTATAAGAATAGTATGAGTCGAATGTTCCATTTTCAAATTTTATTGATACTACGTCATTAAATTGTTTTTTGTAAGATTGACAAAAATTCAGATAGAACTTTGATATGTAAAGCTTAATTACATGAGCTTATTTTAATTTGATTTTTGAATTCGATTTATTTGCTATATTTTTTCCCAATGTTTTAGAAAAAAGTATTTTTTTTTAAATGTTATAGTAATATAAAAGTATCCAGTAAGACGAGTTGGTTCCTATAGGTCATACTTTTGTTGGACTTGTGAAGCGGGTTTTATTTTGATCGCGACGCGCCGCTGCGATGACGTCACGGCACCCACAGTATTATTTCTAACAGTGTTCTTAATTGTAATTTAAGCATGACAATAATAGCGCTGTTTCTGAATTGCCTTGGTTAACGAAAGCTAATACAAGTGCTTTTCATGAAATAGAAAAGTAATATAATATTTTCTATAAACAATTTAATTATATATTTGATAGATAATGGGAAATGTTAATTAAAATAAACATGTAACTAAATTTAAAAAAAAAACGAGATCTATTTCGTTAAATTTTGATTTAATACGAGTAAGATACTATACGAGTAAGTTTATAAAAGTTGAGATATGGTTATTTATTAAAGAACCGAACGGTGCATTTTTTCGCATGCACAGTAAAAAAATATTTATACTGAACTGAGTTTTAACACGAATATTGTCTTTATAATATTATATACGGTTGTTTCGTGAAAGTATCTACTGATTGTCTTTAATACTGTGGCGCAAGCTAGCAGGGAACTAACTCCAAGACTGGAGTTTACTGTTCGGTGTGATTGTTCGAAACTTTAGACATTCGTTAAAAGCCTTACCTTTCTCGTATCTTAGTTTTTTTAACTCCAAATAAATACCTACATATTAAATGTTTATAATATTAGCCATCTTGTTAATATGTACTCAATTTTATTAGGTCACCTTATTCATAATTTGCATTTATCATAATGAAATTAAATTGACAATTACCCACTAGATTTTTATTCTGTTATTGTCATCAAATGACGTTTGTCAGCCTTCAATCTGATGACGTTTGTTAGTTGGCAGCTTTCAATACAAATAATAAATATGACTAAAACTCTATTAGCATTTTTCAAGTTATCACGGTATCAACATTATACGGGAGATAATTAATATACACATTCAGATTATATCCCCAGTATTAGTTATATTGCCTTTAAGTAGAAGATGTATTGTAATTTATTGTCAATTAAATATAATCAATTTTAAGTTCGGGGCGTAACATGACCGTTATCATACATTTCCTAGAAACAATATCCATATCCTTTAGTAATATACATCAAAACTATTGTACGTAGGTGTAGACTGAAGTGTTAATCTTTTAGAATTCATGATAAATAACAAGCAACCGTGATTTCACGAGTTCATTCTTTCTTTGATTGACGCCACGGAATTTAAAAACGCCAGAGCGTATTCATTGAAAAAATAAAGGCTGAAACATGATACGCGACTTTTCGGCGGTGCTTAATTACTAGAATTACTTCTTCATTACCCCTTTAAGCCCATAGCTCTCCCCTTTTCGACGCCGCATAATGTAATACCTGGCAATACCTCGAACTTTGAAACCCTATGCTCTTCAAAGTTTACAAGAGACCGTTGCCTCGTTCGAAGAATGGCGGAATCCTTATAATGCAGGTTGTATACGAAACTTGTTTGACCAGAATTGAGGAAAAAAAAGTGGCAGGCAAGTTCGCCTACAATAGCATTCCGCTTCGGCCCGCCTGCGACCCGCCCTCTATGCCTCCCCTCCTCGTCCCGCCGCTCCAACGGCGCACAGTCCGCGATCAAACACTGAGTACGAACGCGTGTGCCGCGCTTACTGATTCTACTACACAAAACTAGAAGCAATTACTTACTACCACTAAATTGTAAATAGAGCATGTAGTTTTTCATTTGCGCATGAAACTAATCATTTCCCAGTGTGTATTAGGGAACGTTATATTAAGTAGAGTGCACTATTTAATGCATTTGTATTGCATTGTTACTGTGTGAAGTGTTATATCGCTCCAATTATTCGGTGTTATCGATTTTACGTCCACTCATCCCGAACAGCTGTTTGGGCATGCGAAGGACACGGCTGCCGCTCTATATTTTTCTTATTCTACATCAAATAAATTCATATTTGTCCCAGTTTGGTGAAAAATAATTTCTATAAGTATTAGTATGAAAGACGGTAGGTGATTGTAGTTTCAGACGATGTTAATTGGTGTTGTGACGTGATTTGTCTAGTGTAATAAAAGGTAAAAACAAAGAAACAAAGCAATTTACGTTTTCTTATAACAGTTACAGTGTCAGTGAAAAGTGAAATTAGTGTATCATTGAAGTGAATACGCTTTGGATTTTCAATTCGGATGAGGAAAAACACCTATTCTTAAGGTTAGTAATCGTTTTAGTGTGTATATTTCTAGTTTAAATGCTGAAAATAGTAAAAACTATAGATTGTGTAGTAGACGGCTCCTGAGAATACCCGTAGGCCTATCCGTGGCGCGGTAATATAAACGCACTGTTAGTATCCTTACATTTTAATTCCAAATTTAAAATATAAGTTCAAATTTCTAAGATGGTTACATTTTTCCAGTTAATCAATGATTGTACTGAAAATATTTATGATATTTTGTAAGTTGCAAGAGAAATTTTCGTCAAAATGCTTAAGTTCTTAGATTCTTGGGGCATTTTTAGCTTGTGATTATTAAACCTATGCCAATTACCTAAAATATCACTTGTTAAGTGTTTCATAAAGCAATTAAAAGTAACATTACCAGATATAATTAATAATTTCAACTAGTAATAATCTGAGGTCTTATTTTAAAGTAATACTAATATAAAAAGTAAGTTATTTTGAACTGGTTTTTCAAAGCTCGAGTACCTACACGTCTTAAGATTTTTTATGCTTATGATATATTATTTTAATATTGTACAAATTTAAAGCTCACAGTATTCTTTATAAGCTATATATTAAGCTTGTAGATAGGTACTGTATATGTAAACAAATATGTTTATGCTGCGAAATATATGGAAATATAATGAAAAAAATATTGTTTATTAAAGTTTTATATCTAAAATACTTTTAGATAAATTGATTAGATTATTTTTGAATAGATATTTTAGTTGCAAAAATTATTTAAATTAAATTGTTATTTTATAGTCTGGAATTAATTACTTAATGGCAACTTAAACTTCCACTAAGTTAAAGTTTTTAAGAAACAGCAAAGTTTAGAGTTGTAATAACTCGGTCTTTTATCTATTTGGTGTAAAAGGTTAATTTTGCATTATGTAGCCACATTTAAGTTCTAAAAGTAATATATTAGTTGCACTAGATATAGTGGCTCTGTGCCTAAACATCCAAAATTATTGCTATACTCTAAGTACTATTATGAAACTACAATATTCCATAGCATTCTGTGTTTCCAAATGTTGTTTCTACAGTGTTAAGATATGTGTGATAACATTCAATGCCTTGTTATGACTTGAATTTGAATTTTTACAGGGATGAGACTTCTATAAGGTCTGCAAGCTTGCCGGGCTTGATCCATGTTGATTGTTAATGTTTATTATGCTGCTTAAAAAGTATATAATAGATACACCCACGATTTCTTATGTAATCTGAATAACAACTATTATACAATTATATGTTCTCTTTAAGGTACCATTCTATTATACCCAGTAAAAACTAGTACATTAGTCATAACTAAGAACACCTCTTTCCCACTATTACCTCATAAGGATCAGAAGTTATTAGGTTGCCTTGTTAGAATTTCATTTATTTCAACTACTAAACTTTTTCATCACAAGTTAAAACAACTTGAAAACCTGATTTGAAAATATTTAGTCTTAATTTGTTTTGCTTAATCTAATATTATATCTGACCAAATTTAGATGTCCATTTACTGATTTCAAGATGTTTGACAAAAAACAAGTTTTTTTAAGAGGTTGTTACAAAGAAATTTGTAAATCATGAAATTAGTTAAAATTTGTTTGATAATCCAATCAAAGTTACTGTATAACATTTTAGGGCTAATTCTATTTCCTATAAATCTTATTCCAAAAGTCTTCTTGTTGTTTTTTTCTTTTTTAAACCTATTTTTTGATTATATGTAATAGCTATTTATTTGTGCTAATTTCAATATAACATAGGTTGTATCCGGTTTTTTAGTTGTGGTAACAGCCTTTGTGGTACTCCATAAGTCTGGTCCTATATCCATTAACCAAAATCTTCATTATAATAATTTCTTCTAACAGGGTTTTCACAAAACTAAATTTATATTAAATATTGCATAATTTATACAAGAAACTTGTATGTTTCTCCTATACCTATATTTCCCCTACCTATATCTGAGATATATTTAAAACATTCATTTTTGTATGCATGTCGAGAAGCTACCAAAATTATACTTATTATACTACTCATATTACCACTTAAAAAATAATGACCACCACAAAGTATTGAAATGTGCCCCTGTTATAATAATTTTTATCTAAGTAGTGAATAAAACATCTGGCCAGCAAATGTGTAATGAAATTTTATTAACGGATATTCCGTCATTCAGTATTTTTTATTATCACGATACTCGTGGGATTCGTATTCCTAATTCTATCTATTTCTAGGATTGGTTTGTTTTTCACCTATGTATATATAGGAAACGTATGGACATCACCTAATTTACTATCAGAAGATTGTGTTTTACTGCTAGGTTGATTTTAATATTTATAAAGCTGCTGGTGGCGCTGTTTTTAAGGCGCAATTAGAACACGTCTTAACTTTCAATATTTTGTGCACTGTCAATGCGTTAATAAATAAGTTTCTTCTTCTAATTGTACCTCAGCCAGCACTGTAAAATGCGTCAAACTTCAAGAAAAATGGTTTGATAGCGCATGAAATTGGCGTTGTAGAATTTTGGCCCAAGTCTTAGCCGCTATTAGAAGGTATGGCAAACTTTGAAACGGCTATGTAAGTGGAAACGGAGGGTTTTTGGGAAGCCGGTATATCTTTTGCGTAAAATATAAGGAATCACATAGATCAGATATCGTCTATTTATAATTCTGCCATAAAACGAGTTTACAAACAAGTTGAAAGAACGATACAACGAATTATATTTTTTACGAATAGAAAAAAATAACGAGTTACTGCTGACCGGAATTTCAAAACTTCTAAGTACGATATTAAATTTTGCTTTTGTGTGAAATTATTGACATCGGAGGTGCGAATAAATTGTCTCAAATAGTATAAGGAATTGAATGATTTGGATGTCTGATGGATTTTTTGTAAGTTGTAGCCTGTGCTACTTTTTGTAATAAAGATTAATTGTTTTGTATACTATAATGTGGCAAAATGATTTTTGAAGTAAAACTTCTCTAGGCGCATGAGGGTAAAATTTTTAGGGATGAACCGCAATAATAATAATATTAGCGTCACGAAGATGTGCAGCGTTTTTGTCGAAGAAAAGGGAGAGGGCGATTAAGACCGATTGAGAGAGTGTAAAGTAAAAAAAATATATAATCTGTATTCATTTTCGGCACTTTTAAAATCTTAATGACCATTAAATTCCTAACATATCTTCCTTTTTTCCTCCCTTTAAGTCTTAAAAATCTAAAGTTTCAGATTTGTATAAATATGAACAAGACTAAAAATTAGTTTTTCAAACAAGTTTCACTTCTGACATGTGTACTTTGTACGCACGCACTTTTTTTTATTTGTTTTTTTCTGTATAAAATTTGACAGTGCTCCAAACTGACACTCGATTCCTCCACAATTACTGGACATTAGTAAAATCTATTATTGAAATCAGAATGTCTATTGTCTATGTCTCCTTAGGCGCGTTCAGAAATGGGACCTCTTTGTTATGAAAGCGAGTTAAACCTAGTAAATGTCACAAGATCTATACTTAGAATTAGCGAATATAATTTGGACAGCATAATATATAGCCGCGGCCTTAGATTACAAATGCGATGAGTGACTTTAGCGTGTGTTCTTAACTGCGCACTATATCAAATTTTAGTGTCCATCCATTAGGAGGACTGGTTGTAATTAGAGATCACAGTGACGGTTATAGAATGGCGTTTTTGTCTGGCAACCGTTCGCAAATAGAGATTTTTGTTTAGATTATTTTTCAAATTTTTGCTTAGGCGCTAAGGTTATAACTTATAACTTTCAAGTGTAAGATTGTGTTATTAAACTTAATATTGACAATTAAAACTTTCAAAAACAACAGTCTGCATACCGTACAATAAAACTCAAATTCTATGAATTAAAAAAAGTACCGGTCGCTTAATACCACCATACCTTACTCTAATGATGTAGATACGCGAGGAAAGCGTCAGGAATATTCCCGCTGTCTACCAGCGCTGGTATTCTGTATATTCCAGAAGCCATAACGATCCCGACGTCAGTGTTAAGTTTTTCCCACATATAATTAAGGAATCGTTGACTTCCCAAATGAATATAAGCTAAATAATTGGTTGACATATACAACAACTCGAAAAAAACAGAACAGTTTGCGTGGTATTTATTTTCTAGGTCTTCATGTTAAAACCGAATTAATGTATAATATTATTTAATATATGTCGATAGTATTGTAGAGATGTGATTTTTTTTAATTTATCGAATATATGACCATGGATAGAAGTTCTTTAGGCGTTAATATTACATTAGTGTTGCCCGATACCAAGCGTTTTAAATATTATTATTATTTTTCCATTAAATCACGTCGATTTGACTCTATTAATTGTGACGTACAGCTTTAATGAGTAATTTGCATTGTAAATTTATTTGTTTATCCTGTAAACGTCCATACGATATGACGTTTAATTATGACAAAATTTTGTTAATACTTGAATGATTACAC